TAGTACTAGTACTAGTAGTAGCAGCTAGTAGTAGCAGTAGCAGTAGTTGCTGTTGTTGCTGTTGGAGGAGGAGCAGAGGAGGCGTACAGGCACTGCGTAGTACTTTCAACGTAGTCGTTCGTCGTAGGCACGAAAGCCACGAAACGAAACGGGAACCGGGAATCGAAGCACAAGGAAACGAATCGAAGGGAAACGCAAGAAATACCGAACCAAAACGAATCGAATCGCGACGCCAGCCGCGTGGAAACGAACCGACACGAAATGCAACGCTGGCCGGAGGAAACGAACGAAACGTCACAACGGCCGAACGACACGAAGCTTAAGCACCTCAAGGTGTCAAGGTATAGCAGCACACGAGCACCACATGCATCAACACTCCACGGTAACACCAACACCTTGAACATGCCCAGTCTCCGTGGCTCTTGAAGTGGGCGCAGGAATGACTGGGATCAGTCAAGACACTGCGCGTCCCTCAACTCATCGCCGCGGGGAAGGGCTCTAGCAACAAAGCTTAAGCCAACATGGCAGAGGCAGCGGGGTTGGCAGCCGAAAACCGTGGCTGCTGTCCAGATTGCAGCGTAGGTTGACACAGATCTGAGACCCTTGCATGTCGACTCTGTTGTCGTAGAGCTGCAGGCCTTATCAAAGATTGGCCCAACTGACCCCGACACCCACCGAAAATCTGACACTTCGTCATCAAGATGACTCGGACTTGCTTGAACGTCATACCCCGGCACAGATCAAACAGGTGGATGTTTCATCGCCACAAGCGCTAGCTGCTGGCCTACCGGTTTTGCACAGCCGCTTGGACGAGATGGGTTTGGTCGCAAGCTGGCAGCCAATCAACGCTAGCTGTTAACGAGCTTGGGGAAGTTAAGTTGCGGCCGCAGCTGCGGAAAATCAGCCAGGTTTACCCTGCGCATCAGGCGGGCTAGGTCGTTCAGTGCTTGTTTTACAAGCATGAAGAAACAACAATGCGAAAGGAGCCACTAAAGGAGCCTATCCCAAAGGTTCCAACTAAGCAAACCATCCCTTCAATGCCACCATTATGTTACCGGACAGCTGCTTCTGGTACTTCAGGCACTCTTTCCCGGATACCTCCCAAGACCTTCTCCATCCAGGCATCGACGAAGTACTCGCAAAGGTAAGAGCCTCACATGCAACAGGAATGCGAGTACGAGCTTCGTCCAAAGGAGTATAACGAGTGAGAGTGCAGGAAAGGCGCGATTGGTGGGTCGCGTGGTGCCTGCCACATTGATGCTGTGCAGGCAGCCGTCCAATGTCAGCTGCTCTGCCCCCTGCAGGTGTGCCCAGTCCACCGGCACCAGGCCATCACCGGTGGCATTTCCGACTCCACCCAAAGCCACGTAGCTGTTCCAGGCGGTCGACTCTGGAGAGGCTGACCTCACAAAAGCTCGGAAAGTCTGGGAGGTACTGGGAAGCGTCGCGGGGGAATGTCGCTGCTCTACAAGTCGCGAAGGGGGCCCGGCAGCAATGGTACAATGCGAGGTTGTGTCCCGTGCGGCCAGTTTCGGAAGTCAGCTACTCAGCTACGTGGACTTGGACTTAGACTTAGACCGTATTGCATGCACGAGGCTGGATGAGTTCCACGATTGGGATATTGCCCTCCATTTGCTGGCCCGTAACGGCATCCCCTGCCACGGATACCTTTTGCAAGCAATGGTAGAGACACTCTCGCGGAGGACATCGCTTACAGCAAGTATTCAGGCGAGCCGCATAGAAGAGATCATCCGAGTAGTATGCTCCAGGGTGTGCTTTGTTCAGATTCCGCAAGCAGCCGAACCTAAGCCCCGCCGCAGCATGGTCAAACATCGGGGTGGGTCAGGGCAGATGCCGCACAAGCGATGCTGGATGATACGAACAGAGCAACGTGGAAACAAAGGTTGAGAACCCGGACAAGCCGTAGATGGAACTGAACTGCGAACTCCTGCTCTGCCCATTAAAGAGACTCTGCATCGCTCAGGCTGATTGGACTGAGCCGCGTCATGTCCATCTTCCCCTTGGGGGGTGGCCGATGCGGAGTGCCCAGGGACACGAGGCCCTGCACATGCTTCAGCGCCCAGTCCTCCGGTTTTGGAACTATGCACGCAAAGACCAGTACTCGCAAGCCCAGACTTTATCCAGTCTCCTTGCCCTCTCGCTCAAGCAGAGCCCGTGCCAACCACCCTCCAGCACTGTGGCCGATGAGGATGACGGGTTGGCCGCCAGAAAGAACCGTCTCTTCCACTTTCGCCTGGGCCAGGTCCAAATACCAACCGTAAGCTGTCCGGGCAGTTCCATTTCCTTTCGGAGAGGGCGAGCATGCGTTACAAGCCAGAACTCTCTAACTCTAAAGCCCGTGGCTGTTGTGTCCCCTGTGTCCTGCGCGGCTGTCAGCATCCAGCAGCAAACCAGCGAAAACTTTCAGCCAGTCCGACCTCTGGACCGGTACGACTGAAGCCTGGACTCCACGCCGGCTGAGGCATGCCTGGAAACAAGCTGACAATGTTCTCCAAGACTCTGCGCTGCAGATAATAGAACAGAGAAAGGACTGCAAATAAACCAAACATGGCCTGCAGGCCAACAGCCACATCCTGGCCCAGTGGCTCCTTGTATCCACAAGGGAACCCCAGCAGCATGAGACACAAGTCACAAGTCGCATAATGAGGGCACTCGGGAAACAGCTCATCATCCCGGCATGCAAGTTTCTTGCAGTCAAAGGCTCAGAATAGTCAATGGCATCATTTCCGAAACCCGGCAACAGAACCGCAGAGACCGACGTCTTTGCCACGTGCTTCGGCTCGGGTGGCGAAGCACCCAACAGCTGGTCTGGCCAATGCTCCACCTCCTCACCGCTTGTCGGCTTCAGAAGCTGTCCTAGGGCCTCGCCTGCAGGGATGTCCCACTTTTCGAAATAGGACTCTATCCGGCCATCTTCACCTGGTTTGTAACGAGTTTTGCCTCCGACATTAATGTGCGGGGACCACGGCAGGCTCACCTTCCCAATCATGGTCCACTTGGCTACGACTTCCCCCGACTCCTCGAGCTGAATATCGCGCAGTATGCATCTGCGCGTCTCTTTCGGAACGAGTGCATCCACAATGGGCTTCAAGTTGCGCATGTTGGATTCGAACTTGGACAAGCCTTGAAACGAAATGGTCGGATCTGTGAAGCTGCAGGACTCACCATAAAGCTCAGTGTCAATCTCGCCTGACCAGAGGTACTGCCGTTCTTCGAAATCGGCTCGGATGCCCTCCAGCAGCTGCTCAGGAGAGATCGCATCGAATTCACGGGACCTCTCCCCAGCAACGGCTCCGTTCCCAAAGCTGTTGACAACGTCTGTCAGGCCTGCAAAGCTCCACAGTAAGGGTCACAATGTTACCCGGTAAGGTTGCATGTCCCGTGGGCCTCCTACGATAGACTTGGTCCAGTCAGGCGAAGACTCGTAGGATGACCTCTCGGGTTCAGCGCGTCTGGCACCACCTTCGTCCATTGCACACGGGCTCGCAAATACACGTTTTCACAACCAGCGGCATGCAAAAAAATGGTAGAAGGACAGACAGTGGGCAATCAGTCTCACTTGTTTACTCCCACACACTGCAGTGATGGCTCGATTCAATGTACTCTGCACTCTGGCTTCATTGGTCATCCATTCGTTACAACGACTTTACATTTAGGTCCTGTACTACACTTGCCTCCCTTAGTCTCTTTTCCATGCTCAACTTGTTGAGCTTGCTGAGTCCTTCCTGATGCAGGCTGCAAGTGATTGTCAACTCGGCTACTAGCACTGCGAGTAGGATAACTTGTTCCAAACACTTGTGACATGCCTATAACTCCCCTCATGCAACTCACTTCGCGCACTGTACTTTTCTGCTGCTTGCCTGGCTTGCTTGGCTTCGCTGAGCCTTGTCGCATTTGTCTGTAATGTGGTCATCGTGTCTCACGGTACCCCGATCGTTGAACTGGCGGGATCCTTTTTACGCTTGTCTGCCTGTTCACTACCACTTCAATAAAATCGACTTACACTCTTTCAGACTGTCAGACAATACAAAATCCACGCCTCTGACATGCTGCCTTTGCACGCCCAAAGGCTGGCGGATAAAGCAAAGGCTGCAGAATGCCCCGAGCGCGACCCAGAGAAAGGCAGAGAAGCACAAGGACCGAGATCGCGCCATGATGCCCAATTCTGTGCAAGTGGCTCGACTTTTCACAATGAGTGTAACACATGAAAGAAGCAAGCTTCATGTAGTCACAAGTACCATGGTCTCAGAAAGAATGTGCAGTTTCAGCTGATGTGGCGCCGGTCGACACTGCGATGCCACTCGCGAGCATTGACGTCAATGTGCCGGGCGGATTGCTTCTTCTTCAGTAGCGTTGTCTTGCATAAACCAAGCACAGTCGATGGCCTGCTACTTCTATGCGCTCCCGAGCTGCAAAGCTGATAAGGCGGCAAAGAGCCAGTTCTCAAAGTCATGCAAACAAGTAACGGGCCATCGATGTTTCAATGCCCAAAGTTAGCACGACGACAAGATTGACACGCATTGATGCTGAGCTTTCAGCTTGAACCACTGAAAAGGTTGCGACCCCCTCGCACTTCTGGGGCCATGTACAGCACCTTGGTGCATGACTTGGCTTGCAGCCTGCAGCATGTTTGTTGGCCGCTAGCGGCGATTCATCAAGAGCGGATTCAGGAGTCTCCGAGGCACACACAGTGCCAACCTTAGCGGAGCCGTTTGCAAGCTCGCGAATGCAACCGAGGCCTGGACTAGATTGTACCCTCTCTCGGGTTGCAAGTGTGCATAATTGTCCTGAGATCCCTGCGCCTGTCGACTGTTGCCGAGCTGTTGCACCTCAATGCAGGCGAACCGTTCGCCACTGCAAATGACCCAGTCGTGACTGGGTTAGCTAGGGCAAATGCCGAAAATCACCAGGCAACAACACTGTATCACAACTCGTCCCACTATCCAAGGTGTCTTTCGGACAATCATATCTGACAAACATCTATCTGATACTGAGACTGGGCATCTGATTGACATGCTGCTGGTGCTGGTGGCTGGTGTCAAGATGGTGATGGTGATGACGATGATGGTGCTGATGGTGGTGGTGGTGGTGTTGCTGCTGCTGTGCTGCGCTGGTGCTGGTGCGAGAGGTCAAGTGTGCTGCATCAGACGCCGGTGGGAAACCGTGCCACCGCACAAATCGCTAAACAGCGACAGGAGGAAGAGCGAGGGAGAGGGAGCAGATGGAGAGGGAGGAGGCAACCTTGGCATATGCATATTCACCGACCCCCCTTGGGGGCTGCACCCATCATGAAGCTGTGTTTTGCACCCTTGCTCCGGAAGCTGCAGCGAAATGCCAGGATCTAAGGGCATCTCCGCTATGCTGAATCGTGTTGCGCCCTCAGGGCCTGCCGACCCCTCACCGGCCATCGCTCGCGACTTCTCATGCCCCACCGCCCTCAGGGCCTGCCGGCTCCTCACTGCGATATCGCCCGTGAGCTGTGATTCTGTTAGCGATTGAGAAGTATTTAATGCGTGCCCAAGGAGGCCCCAACACCTCACCGTTCTCACCGCCCTCGGACCCGTGTGGATTTTTTCCGGGAAGTATGCAATGCGAGCTCAATGAGGCTCCTCGCCCTTCTCCTGCCCCACCGTCCCCCTCCCCTCAACCCCCCACCACCCTCAGGACCCCTCACCGTGCGACTACTTGGACCAAGTAGGGAGGGAGGGAAAGGTCTTTAATGCGAGCGCAATGAAGCCCCTCGCCGTTCTCATGCCCTCACCGTCCTCAGGGCACCTGCGACTTGTGTGGATTCTGGATGGAGACGTATTAAATGCGTGCCCAAGCCTATATCACTGGCGACTTGTGGATTTCGTCAGGGATGGATAGGACTGGAGAGGTATTTAATGCGAGCCCCATGAGGCTCCTCCAACTCTCCACCGGCCTGGAGGCCCACCGTGCTATCGCCCCCGACTTGTGTTGTGTGAAGGAGAAGTATTTTGAAGTCGCACCGCAGGGAGTTTGGTTAGACTGCCGAGTGGGGAGAAGCCAGGCTAGCTGCGGCTCCAGGCAGGAAAAAGCCACCAACAAGATTCAATCTTCAAACCGACATGGAAATGGAGACTGCAGCCCCGTCGATTCTCAGCACTCTAGCGGTGCGATGAATACAGAGAAACCTGATTGCCCCCAACAAACCCGCCTAGGTACCTCCTCACCGTGCTATCGCACGCGACTTGTGGATTTTGTTCGGGAGTGACGGAGAAGTACTTTCTCATGCCCCCACGGTCCTCAGTCAGGGTCTGCCGGCTCCTCACCGTGATCGCTCGCGAATGACCTCTGTGGATTCCGGCATCGCCCGCGCGTGCCGGGCATGTTTTTGGACGGCGCTGCGTGCAGCAGACCCAAGTCCGATGAAGCTGCTTCCGCCCGCGACGGTACGCTCATGATGCGCTCTGCAGGGGCGCGCATCATGAGCATCGGGGGCCGACGCTTCTGATGCTCATGATGCAGGACTTTGGGGGGGGCTGAACATTTCTGGGAAAGTCCCCAAGTTGGCTGTTTGCGCTGCCCACACCTGGCGCAGACCTTAAAGTGACAGGACATACGCACTGCAAGCGCAGGCTAGAAACTCGGGGTGGTATTGAGGAAGTCTTCGGCGATTCCCACGATGCATGGTTGCTACCCTTGTGAGCTGCATGAGCGTCTTGATGCGTGCACATCATCTGGCTCCCGAAAGTCAATATGTTGCCGAAGTGTGAGGGGAATGCCTTGCATGCCTTAGAAGGAGAAGAAGTCGTGAAGTCGGGCAAGGAATACATCAACATCTCTACACAAAGCCAACAGCTTGCCTGAGATTGTGGGATCTTCTCTGGCAGGCTCGAGGCTAGCCTTGGCTATGCGACAGATTCGTATCAACAACAAAGTCATGGCGGCATCGACAATGACGACAACCAACATGAACAACAAACATACAACGACGGAACAGGCCACAACAAGAACAAAAACAGGAACAAGAACAGCACCACCACCACCACCACCGCCACCGCCACCGCCAACAACAACAACAACAACCACAACCACCATGTCCACCACCACCACAACAACAACCACCACCGTCACCACAACAACAACCCACCACCACAACCACAATCACACACTCCGACTCCGACTCCTACCCATACTCCTACTCCTGCTACCACTATCACTACCACTGCCGCTAACACTAACCACTACCACTACTACTACCACCACCACCACCACCCACCACCACCACTCCTACCACAGCAGTAGTAGTAGTAGTCGTCGTCGTCGTCGTCGTCGTCGTCGTGGTCGTAGTCGTGTGGTGGTGGTGGTGGTGGTGGTGGTGGTGGTGGTGGTGGTGGTGGTGGTGGTGGTGGTGGTGGTGGTGGTGGTGGTGGTGGTGGTCGTCGTAGTCGTAGTCGTAGCCGTAGCCGTAGCCGTAGCCGTAGCCGTAGCCGTAGCCGTAGCCGTAGCCGTAGGCGTAGGCGTAGGCGTAGGCG